GGAGGTATTAAGTTTATACTGTTCACTAGATTGTCCTTTAATGAAGAAACATAACAAAGCTGAGAAATAGACAAAGAATGGCTGAGGGGAAGGATTATTTAGAAGGTTCTCTCATTGTAAAAGGTTAAGAACAGCAATAATAAAATATCGTTGGTTGGTCTTTCATGGTTTTCAGGTGCATCAATGGCAAAAGTATTTAGAGAAAAATTTGAGTGTATACTAAATGTGTTCAGAAATTTTTGCAATATAATAACTGGATAGCATTTAATATTCATTAGTGTAAGAAATCTAGATGTGATTTAAAATTTAACGGGTATGCATGGATTATATATATTTGGAGATTTTGATATCTATTAGGTGGTGCTAGAATTATGAGTACTTGACACAACTGTAGTAGCTAGTAGCTTAACTAGTAGCATTGTTTGAGCATTATTTTAATTGCCTTACGTTCATTATTGTATTTGATTTCCTACAATAAAGTCTGTCAGGTAGTATTTTTACTATTAATGAGAAATTGAGGTCCAGAGAGGTCAATGTCATAGCAGCCCAAGGTCCCAAAGCTGTTAAGTAGTCAAGCTAGGGTAGGAATTCTGCTTGTCTGACAATAGCTATGCCTGGCTCAGTTGGGTTCTATATTTAAAATTGTAAAATTAAGCCAGACAGTCCTAGCACTTGCCTTTAATCTCAGTATTTGGGAAGCAGAGGCAGGCATATCTCTGAGTGTAAGGACAACCAAGGCTATACAGAGAAATCTTTCTTGGGAAAAAAAAATTAGATTATGTATCAGGTGAGTTAACCACCTCAGAAGAAGTTTTATTAGTTATGTATGTTTCAAGATTTATTGTGGATTCCTAAAACCAAACCATATATACAAATTTACTGTTGTTTCTAAGATGCCCTGCTGTGTTGCCTTGTAATTCTAGAGTTTAATCTATCCTTGGAAATTTTATGCCCTGATTCTTTCTTTGTATCATTACTATACTTAGGGTTTGAGAGCATTATTAAATAAAATGAGGGTTACTTGAACTTATGCACACACACATACTGCAATATGTTAAAGGTCTAATATGCAAGACTGGTAGGAGCTACAGCTATGACATGTATACTGAGAAAACCACACAATTCAAAAACTTGGGGATTTTTTTTTTGGTTATTTTATTTATTTAAATTTCAAATGTTGTCCCCCTTCCCAGATTCCCCTCTGCAAACCCCCTATCCCATGCCCACTCCCACCTCACCACCCTAGCATCCCCCTACACTGAGGCATCAAGCCTCCACAGGACCAAGGGCTAGATGCCCCTCACTGATGTCAAATAAGGCCATCTTCTGCTACATATGCAGCTGGAGCCATGGGTCCCTCCATGTGCACTCTTTTGGTTGATGGTTTAGTCCCTGGGAGCTCTGGGGGTCCTGTTAGTTGTTCTTCCTATGTGGTTGCAATCAATCCCCTTCAGCTCTTTCAGTCCTTCCCCTTAACTCTTCCAATGGGGTCCTCAGCATGAGCATCCTCGTCTGTATTGGTCAAGCTCTGGCAGAGCTTCTCAGGGGACAGGCTCCTGTCAGCAAGCAGTTCTTGGCATTGAAACTTGTGGGTTTGTTTTTAAAGTTTTCACGTAATATTTTCAGACCTACATTGACAATAGGTTACTGAATCTGGAATGCAAAGCTATTTTTACTTACTTTAGAATTTCTAAATTTTGTAGGTTGTATTTAGTAAACTGATTTTGAACACTAGTTGACTTACTAAATGTTTTCTACATTCTAAATTGGAAGCATTGTTTTATATAACAGAAAATATTTTCACTTTACATTAGTCTGTTTTATTTTGTAATTTACTGTTGCGATTTTCAGGTGGAGATATCAGATCCCCTTATTACAGGAGTTACAGATGATTGTGAGCCTCTGAGTAGGTACTGAGAATTGAGCCAGAATTCTGGAAGTATGGTGATCAGTGCTCTTAACTGCTGAGCCATCTCTCCAGCCCTTTGTTCAGCTTCTGTAGTGTTGATGCTGCTCTTATTGTCTATTTTTAAAGTATATAAAGTGATAAAACACTCATTTATATTTAACATTAGATACCTTCTGGGATGCTAAGAGCAGTAGAATAGGTTGTGTGGTTGGCATTCCTTTTTATTCATTGATTATTGTCCTTCTAACTTGTGCTTCTTCTGAATATCTCTTATCCCTCCAGTACTCCACACTGAATGCAAGGCCTCATGTATACTAGACAAGGGTTCTACTATTGATCATACATCTGCAGTCCTATTTTTATCCTTAGGCAAGGTCTTGATGGGGAAATTGTCTGCGCCAATCCTGAATGGGTTTTTCTTCCTCAGCCATAAGTGTAATAAGAGATTTATTATGAGTGCCATTTACAATACCTATCTTGAATATATCTTGATAACTGGCTCTAAAACTCCCCTCACTTTATGGGCTGGAGAGATGATGATTCCTCTGTGTTTCCCCCACCCCCCAAACACTGTCTATGCTCTTTTTATACTACTTTATATATTGGTCAAAGTAGAAGAAATGGAAATTTGTAAAAAGTAACAGCATTTTGATTTTATAATGCAATTTCATATTAGGCTAATGTGAATAACCATTTGTGCTTAGAAAATAATGTGTTTCGTGAAATTACTATGGCATTATAGTGATTATGCTAAAAATTTTTCTTTTTTAACAAACATGTCATTTTATTGAATTTGAAGGTTAGCTAGCAGTGGAGGTAGGGGAGCAAATAGGAAATCTAAGAGAACAATTAGAGCTGACAACTCTTAAGTGAAGCAAGAAATTTTAACTTACTATACCAAAGACAACAAAGAAACTTGCCTACCTTAGTTTTGGTTTGAGAAGAAAAAACAAACCACCACTGAGGATTTAAAATATAAGCCACTTTTCTTTACATTTACAGCCTGGATTCACTTTCATTAACACTGATGTTAAAACAGCAAAAGGAATGTATTACAAAGAATTTCATTTGTCTCAAATTAGGGGTCCTACCAAATAACTAGTATAACTGAATCCAACTGCTTGCAAAGGATTTAACTTCAGAGATAGCAAATGTAAAATGTGCCTGTGTGTTTTGTGTTTAGGATAATAAAAATAGGAATCATTGTAACATTTCCTAAGTCGATAATGGGGGCTCAGGGAAATAGGTCATTCTGCCATGTTCAAAACTCTGAGAGCTCCAAATATACCAAATTGTTAATAGTAGTTTTGTATGAAATACACTATCTTGCATAAAGGTGATTTTTAGTTTCATATTTATACCATCAGTTTCACTTCTAGAATATTTAATTATGTAAAAATTTTAAAGCTCATAGATACTAAGTTTGTCAGGTAAAACAAGCGTAACTAAGCTTTGCCTACCAGGAATTTAATGGAAAATGCTGAAGAAAACTGTGGCTTTGATTTTCTATCACATCTCATATTCTAACCATAACTGAATTCCACACTACTGAACAATTGTGAAGTGTTTAAAAATTTGAGTAATAGGAAGGACTGTGAAAGAGACAGTTATGTCAAAGTCCTTATGTTCATTATATGGTTTTGAATATTTGTTGTCCCTTTGTTCCGGATTAAAACTTGCACCTCAGTTATTGAAGTTTTGTAACTTTTTTTTTTTCTTTAGTGAGATTTTTGTCTTCAGGTTATAGTCAAAATTGTTGACCTCAACTTGTATTAGTTTACTCAAACTCTTGTAATTGTAGGTAATGGCTAATGGATTTTTTTTTTTTTTTAGTACTCTACATTTTAAAGTACTTTTTATTTCACCCTTAGGAGAAATTACTTACTATTTTTCTTTTAGGTTTTTAAAATTTAACACTTCTGAAATTCTCTTAGGGTTCTTGTTTGGAATCTTTTAGACTCCCACTGTGTGCTTTTGGAGTGGGTTTCTCGTGTTACCTGTTCGATTTATTGTTGTTTCCTAAAGCATAGCTTGAAGGCTTTGGAAACATCTGTCTTTGTTTGCTTTTTTTTTTTTTTTCTTAACATGTATATATTTTTTAAATTTTTTAGTTAAGTTTTGGAGGCCTCTGTGCTTGTTTTCAAATCTTATGCTTTTTATAAAGTATTATTTTAAACATATGTTCTAAGTAATCTAGCAAATTCTTCTAACCATAATTACTTCCCAATAGTTTAAATAATTTTTAGCTGGTTTTTAATCTGTTAACCCCATGCTGGCCTACAGGTATTCTAGCCCATTTCATTTTGAGTTTTTGCAAGTAGTAAAACTGAACATAGTTATTCTTAACCTCCTGTAATTATTGAAGTTTTTATCACTCTACAAGTTTCCTTAGATTCCTTTGAAACTCTTAATATACTACAGTCAGAATTCTAATATGATATTATATTTTATGTAACATGGATGAATATTGATCAAATCCTTTAGAAAGTAAATTTTCATGATTTTTATTCATGCTTAGTCCTTACTCAGATTTTCATTGCTATCCTTAATAGACTAAAATAAATTCTCAAAACTAGTATAATCAGGTATTTATGTACTTTTCTGTATGTATAATTAAAGAGCATTATATAAATTTCAAGTCAGTGTTTAGATTTTAAGCACCTTTGATCTAAGATTTTGAGAAGGACCAGATAAGACTGTAAAGTTTGTTGAGTACCGATTAAGAATAGAAGGTAAAAGTACTGAAACTTTTTTGTTTTATATTCTCTCATTCGAAAAAAGGGGAGAAGCTTTTTAATTAAGAATAAAAGGAAATGAATAGTCTCAAGTTTGAGTTAGAATAATACAACAGTCTGCTCTTCTAAGTAAACTTAATTAAGATATTTTTTACCATACATATGAATTGTGGCGTAAGTACCAGAACAGGATCATCAGGAACTACTTCATTCATTCAACAAGCACTTACTAAGCATATTATCCATATACTGTAGTAGCATAGTTTCAGTGGGTTATATTTTTAGTTGGATGATACTTACAGTCCTGTAAAGTGTTTTGATCTTACATGGTAACCATTTTTTAACTTTTATTTTAGATGCCTGGAATGATGTCTTCAGTAATGTCAGGAATGATGATGTCTCATATGTCTCAGGCTTCCATGCAACCTGCCTTACCGGTTGGTAATCTTATGGAAATAATTATTTTCTGTGTTTTGGTTACTTTTATGTATGAATAATAATGTGCATGTACTTAGGACACCCCAAAATTAAAGTGTAATGTGGAAATTATAATGGAACATTACATTGCAACATATATACATGTGCTATGATAAAACTAGTTTTATAATAAGGCATGTAAACAGTTTGTGAGGGACAAAGCATTTTAATAGTCATAATATTTTCAAACATGACATTTAATTTATTAAGTGCTAGTAAAAGTTGACATTCAATTTAAATATTAGAAGACTTAATTTTTTGAAACTTAATTTTGGTGAAATTTGTTACAAATTAACTCAGAGTATTCTTGAACAGAGATTTAATGACTGTCATACTTAGGTGGTAATTTGGTGATCTATAAATACTATGATACTAGCTTACGCGTGTTTATTTCCTGAAAGCCTATTGGTTTTAATGAACGAGTATGACATATTTATTTAGATTAGTAAGTTTTTAGTGTTTTAGTCAAATTACTATATTTATTAACATTTGCATATATTACATTACAAAAATCTGCTGAAGAGTCTGTGGCCCTATTTCTAATATATTAATATTGGTGAGTTTCGTTGCTTAATTAATAAGACTTGTTTTTCAGAGCTTTGGAGATTTCAGAATTGAGAGGGGGAAGGAAGGTTGTGGTTCTGCATACAATTTATAACCATCTACTATCTTAAAGTAATTAAGTTTCCCAACTCTGTTGATCTCTTGAAGTGTATAGCAAGCTTGGGAGTTGAAACCACTAGAAATATTAGTCTTTTAGTGGCTTACAGATTACACATGAAACTGATTTACATTCATTGTTTCTGAAAAAATATAGTTTAAATGATTTTGCATGTTAGTAATTTAATTTCTCTTCTTGCAGCCTGGAGTAAATAGTATGGATGTAGCAGCAGGTATGTCTACAGTGTATGGTGGACTTCATTTGGAAAGATGCAGTCATATTACAACAAGGAATGAAAGTAATGTCTAAGGCTGAAAAGATAGTTAACAAAAGTACTTGCTGTTTTCTTCAGAGGACCTGGCATGCATTCCCCACTCTTACATGGTTAACAACTACTTATAATTCCAGTTCCAGGGAATCTGATGTCTTCTTCTGTCCTTCTTGGGCTCCAGGCATGCATATGGAATACAAACATATGTGCTAACAGTCCACTCGTGCACATAAAATTAGTTTTTTAAACTGATCTTTGTGATCAGTTCTTAATATTTTCTCAATATCTGACAATAGATAGTGTTTACAACTGAATCCTTAAGTCAGATGTATTATACAAATTCTTTGGTTCTCCTTTTTTTATATTTTGTGATTATTAAAATACTTAAAATTTATATTGGAATGTTTTATCAGAATTTCAGTGCTTAACAATTACACCTAAATTCCTTTCTTTATTATATATGCTACTAAAGTACAATAATGCCTCTGTCGACATAAACAGAGTCAGAGAATATTTACACAATGAACTTACTGAGTTATATATTTCTATTTGGGGAACATAGGAGTGGATAGTAGCTCCACGTTTTAGATATGAAATATTTGCTCTTCTTAGACTTCTGTTTTACAATCTTTGCTTTTTCTTTTACTTATGTTAAGTTGACTGATTGCTAAAGTTAGACATTATTTGTGTGAGCTTTATCACTAACACCTGAAAATCCCTTACATCATAAAGATACACACACATGCATCAACATAAAGATATGTGTGTGTGTGTGTATGTATGTATACATATTGCATATATGATATATATATGTCATATGGTAGTATAGGACAGCACTAACAAAACTTTATGCCATGGCGGAAGTGTTCAATAATGTATACTATCAAATATAGTTGCTTCTAGCTACATGTAACCAAGTTTGGCAGGAGTTAGAGAACAGAGGCATTATTGTATTTTAGTAGCATGTATAATAAAGAAAGGAGTTTAGGTGAGATTGACACTTAAGAACAGCTAGAAAGCAAAATGAATGTTTCTTTTTGTCAGCTGACAATTAACTTTGGAGATTGTAAGCTCAAGTTCTGAAAATGCTTTATGCTTATAGATGTTTTATTTGTGGGATGGGAAGCAAGCAAACAGGTAATATAGGACAGTTTAGAAACTTTAATAAGAATAAAGAGGAAGAAATAATAATAAATATTGGAACTATTAAGGAGCTCTTCACTTATTACTGAATGTTTTGTCTTTTAGGTGCAGCATCTGGTGCAGTAAGTACTTACTTTCTTACATGCTGAATTGATCCTTGATTTTTGGAGATTATTTGTTAAACCATCTTTAGTTTTCTGTGCGGAATGTTGAAGTATTTTATTTAAAAAAAATACTTATGAATGTTATGTATGAATGTTAAAAGAGATTGTTTCTGTTCTATGTGGCTATTTCAAAATACCAAGGCCAACTGCTTTTAAAGAAAACAGGTTCTTTGGTGTTCCAGTTAACTCTGGCAGAGGAACTGCTAAGGTGTAGGTTTTTGTAAACACCCCTATGGGGAAGACCATCACTTTTGAGTTGAACCCTTATCTGCTATAGAAAATGTAAAATCTAAGATCAGTGATAAGGATGGAATCCTTCCTGTTCAGCAAAGGCTGCTCCTTGCTGATAAGCAGTTGGAAGATGGCATACTTTGTCCAACCTAAGCATTCACAGTGACTGCACCCCTCATCCTGTGTTGAGACTTCATGGTGGTGCTGAGAAAAGGAAGAAGCCTTTCTTTCCCAACAAGAATAAGCATAAGAGAAAGGCTAAGTTTTCTGTGCTGAAATACTGTAAGGTGGATAAAATGCAAAATCAGTTGCCTTTGTCAAGAGTGTCCTTCTGATGAAAGTGGCACTGGAGATTTCATGGTCAGTCACTTTGACAGACAGTACTGTGGCAAGTGTTGTCTGACTTAACTGCTTCAGCAAACCAAAAGACAAGGAGTTGTTCGTGAGTTAATAAAAGGACAAAAATTAGGGTGAGGGTGGGAAGAAAAGGAGGTTGTTGGAGCTGGAAAGATGGCTCTGTGGGGAAAAGTGCTTGTTGCACAAGCATGAGAACCTAACCTCAAATCTCTGTGATCAGTGTAACAACAAGGCATGGCTCTATATGCCTGTGACCCCAGCGCTGGGGGGCCAAGATAGGTGGATCCCAAGAGCTCTGGCCAGCTTAGCCACACAAAGCAGTCAAGTGGATTATAACTCTATAATTTACTCAAGACAGAGAACGATAGAGACTCTAGAGTCTCTCTCTGGCATATATTTGAATTTACAATGAAACTCTCACCTGCTACCCATCAAAGGCAAGAAAAGAGACATATTTCATACAGTTTTGAAGCTTGGAAATCCAAAATCAAGCCACTCAATTTGGGCTATAGTTAAGAGCCTCCTAGTTACTTTAACAGCATGACCAAAGCCATTACTTTGGTGTGCGTGCAAAAAAAAGTATGGCGTGTGTAACAAATCATGGCCAAGAAATAGGTGAAGCCAAAGAAGGGTGAAATAGAATTTCTTACTTTTTTTAGACAGACTATTATACAACCCCTATAATGTTTCAGAGGCTCAAGTACTTCTAGAATTGCCTCATGCAAACTGTTCATCCAAGTCTTTGTTAGATTTTCCATTGGGTTATACATAGTCTGAGTCCTTTTTAAGGAGTTTTATTTCTTAAGTCTCATAGTTTTAATTTACTAGAAAGATTACTCTAATTTGTTTTTGTTCATTTATTAGTAGACATTAATGTAATAGTGTTAGTAACTATTTAACAGCTTGCTTTATCTTGTGAAAAAAACTTTCTAGTTGTTAGTATTTCATTATATACCAGTACTTTAAGCTGTTTGTCTTGCAGTAAAAAAAAAGAAATTAAAAGTTTTCCTTAATACTATTTGTATTTTCATTAACATTTAGTATACAAAATAATAGGTTTCTACAATATTTTGATATATGCATATAATTAACATTGTATATATTTATCCCCCTTTTGTTTGCTCCTTTCCTTTTCTCAAACAAGTGCCCATTTTTCAATTTTATATGTCTAGGTTTCACATATGATAAAGCATATGATTTTTTTAAGGTATATTTATTTATGTATCTTATGTATATAGGTGTTTTGTCTTCATGTATGCACACCATATTAGTTCTCCATTATTTATAGAAAGCCAGGATAATTGTACTTGTCTGTCTCAAAGGTATTTTGTTAAATGTGAATGTGCAAGTCTCTCTTGTGTTTTAACTTTGATTCCTTCAGGAATGTAGTAACTGAGAAACAGTATATAAATCGTATTTTAAGGTTTTTTTGAAGAGCATCATGTTTCTGAAGTGGCCGTACTAATTTACATTCCTAAGTTCCTATTTCCCACACAATTTTTTGACAACTTTTGTAGTTTGTTTTTTCTTTTCTTATAGATTCAAATTTTGACTGAGTTTCCCTCTTAGCTAAAAAAAAAATATTGAATAATTCTCTCATATATTTATGAGTCTTTTTTACTTCTTAAGAGTTGTCTGCTTTCTGGGTGTGATGGTACATGGATTTAATTCAAGTATGTAGGAGGCCAAGCCATGTATATCTCTTTGGTGGAGGCCAGCATAGTCTACAGAGCACGTTCCAGGACAGCCAGAGCTACACAGAGCTATACTGTCCTGAAAAACAACAACAAAAACAAAGGGTGTTTGCTCAGTTCACTTGGCCATTTATTGATTGTACAATTATTTTGGTATTTAATTTTGAGTTCTTATATATTCTGAATACTCCTGTGTGATGAATATCTGGCAAAGACTTTCTACCATCCTATAATCTGTCATTCTACACTGTTCTTTCTTTTGCATAATTTTTTAATTTGATAAAATCCTATTGTCAGTTTTGTACTATTTCCTGAGTTAGAGTAATTGTCTATATCCTGAAGTGTTTCTCTGATTAGTTTTAATGTTTCAGGTCTTGTTTTAAGTTCTTAGATTTACATTGAATTGATTTTTATGAAGTAAGAGAGGACCCAGTTTCATTCTAAGTGGATATTTATCCAGTTTTCCAGGCATAATTAATTTAAGCTGTCATATTTCCATTGTATTTATTTTATATCTAGCTTAAATCAAATGACTTCATATTTCTGAAGTTTGTGGTAGTCTAAATGAAAAGAGCTTCCATAGACTCATTGGGAATGTCATTATTGGAGATGTGGCCTTGTTCAAAGAAGTGTGACACTGGCAATTGGGCTTTGAGGTTTCATAAGCTCAAGTCTAGCCTAGTGGCATATTGTCTCTTCCTGCTGCTTGCTGATCCAGATGTAGAATTGTCAGCTACCTCTCCAGCACCGTGTCTGCCTCTATGCCACCATATTTCCTGTAATAATGGAGTAAACCACTGAACTGTAAGCCAACCCAGTTAAATATTTCCTTTATCTTGGTCATGGTGTCTCGTCACAGCAATAGAACCGTAACAAGACAAGGGATTTTGTTTGATTTTTTTTTTTTTCTGTAACCTCTTTCCTCAGTTGTGATTTTGATTGTCAGCTTAGCTTTTTTGGAGACTCAGGAAAATTTGTGAGGTGAATTTCTGGGTGTGTCTGTGAGAAAATTTCAGAGTTTATAAACTAAGGGGAAAGACTGAATTTGTGGGACACTAATTTATAGACTGAAGGTTCAAATGGAATCAAAGGGAGAAAAGTAGAGGGTGCTTTCTGTTTCTTGCTTCACCCACTATACCTTCTCTGCTTATGATGAACTTTGAAATTTGAACCAAGTAAATCCTCTTTTTAAAATGTTCTTATCAAGGGTCTTTTCACAGCAACAAGAGAAGACATCTAATACAGATGTGTGCTTGGTTTTTCCTTTATGTCTTGCTGTGTTTTTGTTCATTTATATTGTGGTTATTTAGTGAAAGTTAGGCGTTGGCATACTCCTTTTTTGATTGTTCCTTTGTTCTTTTCAGAAAGGGTCTTTCTATGTATCCCCTGGACATCCTGGAACCCACTGTATAGACCAGGCTGGCCTCACAGAGACATTGCTTGCCTTTGATTCCCGAGTCCTGGGATTTTTTTTTTTTTTTGAAGAGTACTTTGAATATTTGTATGAATTTTAGAATTCATTGCAAATTGTTTTTCAGATTTTGGTGTGGGATGCATTCAAGATGTTTGTTGCTTTTGATAATAGAGACATTTCCTAATACTAATTCTGCTGAACGAGGAATACAGAAGGTCTTTCTGTCCACTAGTGTCTTTGTTTTCTTTTTTTCAGTGTTAATGAAGTTTTCATTGTGGAGGTATTTCACCTCCGTAATTGTATGTATTCCTAGATACTATGTTTTGAGGCTATTGTGTATAGTATTATTTTCTTTATTTCTCCAGTATTCAATATTTGTATATACAAAAATTACTATATAATAATTAGTGTATATAAAAGCTACTAATTTTGCCTGTTGATTTTACACTCTACTACTTTACTGAAAATGTTATGTCTGAGGGTTTTCTGGGGAGTCTTTGGGGTTTCTTAGGTATAGATAAGAGTCATTTGCAAGTAGATAATTTGATGTTTCCTTTTTGTATCTCTTTATCTTACTCTAGTGCTTAGAATCCAAGCATTTCACTGGATAAAGGTAGAAAGAATTGTTACCTTTCCCCTTCAGACTTTAGAAGAGATACCTTGAGATTTTTCTTCCTTTCATATAATACTGGCTTTATGTTTACCATATATACACTGTATTTTAATGTTGGTATGGTCCTTTCTTCCACTCTTCCTTTGTTTTTTGTTTGTTTTGTTTTTGTTTTTGTTTGAGAAAGGGTCTGGAACTCTTTGTAGCTTAGATTGATCTTGAAGTTGTGATCATCCTGACTCTACCTCTTAATTGCTAGTATTATAAGGGAACATCCCTGTATCAGATTATGTGGAACTGGGAATTGAGTCTGTGCCCTTTTCAACTGAGCTGCATCCCCAATTCTAAAATGTACTGAGTTTTGTTGGGTTTATTTTTTTTCTTACATATAGTTGTAATTTCTCTCTTAGATCCTGTTTATATACTGTGTTACTTTTTACTGATTTGTATGTTGAACTATCCTTGAATCCTTGAGATATTATTACTGAACTACTTAATTCATTAAGTTTTTGAAGTGTTGTTTATATCATGTGTGGTTAAGCATTTTAGGGAAGAATTGAACACTTTCTGTTGATCACTGCTGGCTGCAGTCATTTAAGTTTTTTTTAATGCAGCAAATTGGTAAATTTGCTGAACATACTTAGCAGATGCA